GGGTTTTGCCAGGTTAGTGTAAGATTTTGACTGTAGGGACAGAAGAGAATAATATAATTCAACAAGCAATTCCAAAAAATAATGCTTCCTGTCTTATTGAGAGAAACAGCTGCAAAAGGCAAGAACACGGTTTTAAAGCCTAAATGAAAATATACATTCAGTAATTTGGTGGGAGATCAATATTTTGTATCATTCTTTCAGTACTACAGTACTGTTCTGTACAGTATTGTTCTGCACTTTCCAATGCCTTAGAAATTACACCAGACTAGCACAAGACCTAGACTGGCTGAATTGCACAGAAAGAGTCAGATGAGCAATGGAGGCAGCATTTCTTATTTAGTATAGGGCTAACAGGGGACTATTTTTTGAGAAATGTTCCCAGCAGTAATATATAGATTTAATAATCTCCAAGCCTGAAACAGATGGTCCATGAATGTGTAATGTTGTATTGCAATTGTACAGTATCTTCAAACAAAAATGTGATGATAGAAGTGCATGAAGTCTGATGAGAAATTAATAGTGGCCTATTCCTTCAAACTGCATGAAGACCCCTGTTCTAGAGCAGCAGAAATACCATTACTATTCTTACAGCAGAGGAGATGAGGCTTTGGAAAGATTTAAAACCCTAAGTGTCTAGGACTGCTTACGGTCAGAGAAAATCCAGAACATTAAAACTGAAGGTAAAACAATTGCCTGCAGGGTATGATTTGATCAGTATTGGTGAATGTGGGATTTTGGAGGTCAGGTGCCCTTTTTTGAGAGGTTTTACATGCGCAGAAAAAAGCTGTCAGCAGACAGAATTTAAGGAGCAGCACTGGAAGATTTTAGTTGATCTTCATGTATACTGTGCTTTCTAGTAGTTGTGTCTTGGGAATTTAAATCTCTTAGAATCTTTCTTAATCAAATGAGAACATTCTCTGTTGGTATTTGTGTGTGCTTGTCAGGAACCTTGCGAGAGTTGGAGATCATAGAATCATAGAATCACAAGGTTGGAAACGACCTATAAGATCACCTAGTCCAACATCTGTAGTGGCAGTACCAATTCTTCAGACCTGCAGCGTGCACATCAGAGATGCAGTCATTTCTGTCTTGTGCCTGCAAGTTCTGAAGAATATTCTGAGGACATTCCAGTTTTAGTTTATTGCAGCCTACAGGACTGTGCTCCCTGTTCTAGTGACATGTCATTGGCGACCCAGCAGTGCAGGAACACTTTTGCAGTGTATCCAGCAGTGGAAGTTAAAACAGTTCCTCCCTCCCAAGTTTAACAAATCATATGCTTATGTTCCATTAATGCAATCTTACTGCATAGCAGAAGTGCTCAATTCAATTAACCTCTACCCAAACCTGAACATTCGCTGACCTTCTAAATGATCTGGGTGATGAGATCTGTACCTGTACCAATACAGAGCTGAAAATCTGCCTGCTCAAAAACTCAGAAGAAGATACAACTCTCATTATGTCAAAGAAACTTGCTCCACAGGAGAATGGTACCTCCTAGAGACTTTTGTTGGTAGTGAATGTATGGATAGGCAGACATTTTTAACAAAAAAAGCGTTGCCAAATTTTACAATGTTCTTGTGAGATTTATGCAGTTACATGTGTTTCTTAAAGTTCTGATTCTAAAGATTTCAGAAAAAAAATCAGCTTTTATTAAAGGAAAAAGTATGTGTATTCCAAAGTCTTGTGTTTCAGGAAAAAAAACCTTACAGTGATACAGAGACTGTACCTAAAATCAGAAAGCATAGTAACATTATTTGAAGTTTTGAATCTCCTGAGAATGAGCAATTTTTGTTTACTGGTATTTGAAAATAAGGATAAGTTCTGCCTTCATGGGTAATAACTGGCACAGCTGCCATTGATTTCACTGGGCCTAGAATTCTCCTTGTCTCTGTTCTTGGTCTTATGCAATTGCTAAATAATTTCGAAAACTGGATTTTTGGGTTGTTTTTCTGTGTTTAGAAAGAAATATGAAATCTAGCATTGAACACTACAAATACAGAATCAAAATGACATGCAGCACAGAGCCAGCCTTGCTATCTTCCTGAAAAATGTAAGCCTTTGGCATTACAGAGGTTTGTTATGGAGAATTTTACTATTGTAAGTGGCAGCAGTGGCACATTTTGAATTTAGGTCAACAGATACTTGTCAAAGTCCCTAACTATTACATGAATGCTATCCTAAAACAATCCATCTGTGTCTTATCACTGACTATCGTGCTCCTCTACAGTACTGCTCTTGGGTGATTTTGAGGAGGATTTTGTGCTAAGAGGTTTCTTATTTCTGTAGCGAACTGTTATCCTGAAACATATCCTATTTGTCATGATTCTTAAATAGCAGCATCTTAAATCAACAAATCCTACTATCTTTCTGTGATTTCCTTTTAAATGGGTTTGAAAGTGATGGAAATCCAGTGTGATCACATTAGGCTAAAGCATAGCTTGGACTGCATTAGCATAAAAGGAAGTAAGACTGTCTTTCCACGTATGGATCAGTAACCTCTATTCTGTTAAAGGAAACAGAACTGTTGTTATCTGTTTACTTGCTATCATTTGAAGTGGATAGGGAACAGGCAAATAGCTAACAGCATAGGAAGTACTTTCAATCAGAGACTGTAATAACAAAAATGCAAATGTGTTTTGAATCCCTGTTTCTTTGAGATTTTTGTTGGTTACTTAGCGACAATATTGTTAACCATATGGAGATATATTTTAATATGTGGTCAATAAGCACAGTGGTATCTGTAGAAGGAATCTGTGCTCATGTTAACCCTAGCATTAGAGTGGACTGCAAAATGCTTCAAGGGCTTAAACTGTAAAGGGAATAGAAGTTACACAGCCAGTCTTTAACTTTTTTTCCTTTTAACTGGTGGAATTTTCTTAGGTGTGAATGTTGTTTATGGAGGTAAAATCTCAATGTGTTTACATGGGAAAAAATCATAAAATCGTAGAATCAAAGAATGGCCTGGATTGAAAAGGACCATAATGATCATCTAATTTCAACCCCCCCTGCCAGGGCACGGTTGTCAACCACTAGACCAGGCTAGGTTATTTCAAGGTTATTCAAGGTTATTCCAATCTACATCCCAAATTCTTGACTCTACTAACCATAAAGAGATACTTTAAGAAAAGAGGTACACAGTAATTCTTTTCTCCCTCAGAAAGCAGTTTTGAAAAGAATAAGGCTGAATAAACCCAAATGATGGTGGGAGAGCACAGGATGAGCTGCCAGAATCCCTTGGTTTGTTCTCTGAAATATAACAACCCACTAAGCCTACATTATATTTCTCATCCACCATCAGTGCATGTGTCCCAGGAGGACAAAACACACACAGACAGCCAAGTACAGGAAGTGGGAGCCCACACAGTCAGGGCTTTGAATCAGAATGCAGGCACTCAACAAAAACAACCTTTGGGCAGGTATTTTCCACTTGTCAGAACAAACTGGTAGTGAAGTACAAACAGAATTAATTAAAATTATTCTTTCAGTAGATTTCAGGTTGCATGCTTTCCAGAGCTGTGAGCCTCAGAGAATATTCTGATAGAGAAGCAGCCGATGGCACCGTGTGGATTTTCTTTCCCCCATTCATTGTGGCTTACAAAAAGACAAGATAATGCTAATATTTACAGCCTGTAAGGATTAACAAACTCTTAAAAACTCTTAAATACTCTTACTAGGCAATGCCTTACTAGGCATTTAACATGTTGTTTAATAAGTTGTTTAGTAAGTTGCACCAGGGGACATTCAGGTTGGACACTGAGAGGTGCTTCTTCTGAGAGTGTTTGGGCACTGGAACAGGCTCCCCAGGGAGGTGGTGGAGTCACCATCCCTAGAGATGTTCAAGAAATGTTGTGGTTTGGTGAGAAGTGTTGGTGGTGGGTGGATGGTTGGACTGGATGATCTTGGAGATCTTTTCCAACCTTGGTGATTCTATGATTCTATGAATATTCATATTGTATGTGTGAGAAGACTTAATCAGAAGAATTGTGCTGTCACAATTCTTTGTGTGTCCAGCATGGGTCAAAAATGGAAAGTAATGGAGGGCCACTGAAAGGTGGGAGGAAGGAAGCAGGACCCCTTTCTGACCACAAACTATCTTCACAGGCTGGGATACACGATCTACCAGCCTCACACCCTTTGTGTGCTTGTACCTCCTGCACGTTGGATTGCTGTGTTCCCAGTACAGGTCATGTAGGTGCCCCAAGGGAAACGACTCTTTTTTCCTGGGTAAGCAGAGCCCCGCCTGACTGCATGGGAAGACTAATCCAGAGTGTGGATCTGGGACAAAGTCACAGAGCTGGCTTCTGACTGCATGTCTACAAGGCTCATCGGCTGCCTTGCATGCTACACACCTGGGAATCCCACATCTAATTTATCTTCAAAAAGGTTAACTACCCACAAAGGAGGCTGAGAGAGAGAAAATAGATCAGCCCGGTAGTTAAATAGAGAAAGAAAAAATAGTTTTTAGATAACAAGATAGTGAGAACGAGCCTGCTAAAAGTAAAAGTAGGTAACGCTGAACTTCAGTATCGTGGCAGTTAAAAAAAAAAAAAGGAGAGAATGAGAGCCGGGGTCCCGGCGTGGGCAGGGTCGGGGGGGGAGGGGCAGCCCTGCCCCGCACGGCCGTACGCGCCGTCTGTGAAGGAGCTGAGCGCAGCGCACAGCCGTGACGCTGCCGGGCCGGGGACGCGAGTCCCAGTGTCGCTTCGGCTACTCGAGGAAGAATTTATTCACCAGAAGGAGGAGGAGGATGAGCCCGTGCACTTCAGCGGAGAAAAACAAGCGTGAGTCTGCCGGAGCGGTTGAGCGAGAAGGCAGCTTCTCCCCCCCCAGCACAGCCTCCCGGCTCCTCGGGTACTGCCACGAGGCGCTTGCCACAGCTCGGGAAAACCCGTCAAAGAACACCGAGCGCGTCAGAACTCCGCGCCTTCCGCAACGCGCGGCTTCACGGCACCCGTTCGTCAAAGAACAGATCCGCACCGCCCACCCAACACGGACCCACCCGCGGGGCGGGGCGCCGCCATGACGGCGGGCGGAGCGGCGTGTGCCCGCCCCAAGATGGCGGCGTGCAGGCAGGTAACGCGGCGGCGTGGCGGTGTGCGGGGAGCTGACCTCCTTGCCGTAATGTTAGAGCCCTTAAGGGGTTTGCTGTCACCCGAGCTGACGTTGCTGGGGGGCCGTGTCGGTGTGTTTTTCTAATCCTCGTGAAAGGCAGTGAGAGCAGTGCCGAGTGCTCCGCGCTCCCTGCCTTTCGTGTCGGCCTCTGTTGGCGGATGTGAGGCGCCTGGCTGAGCCGCGTTCCCCTGGGATCGGGTGCGGTCACCCTGCTGAGGGGTGTGGGCTCCGTGCGAGAGCCTGAGCTGCTCACCCGTTCTTCCATCTGGTTCTGTTCTGCAGAGACCTCTTGGTAGCGGTCTGACTGGTCTGGGAAATACAGATAGAATCATAGAATGGCTTAGGTTGGAAGGGACCTTACAGATGGTTAAGCCCCTGCCATGGGCAGGATTGCCAACGCTAAATCGGGCTGCCCAGGCTCCACACATCCTGGCCTCAAACACAGGTAGCCTCCATACCTCTTCTGAGCCCGATTTGCCTGGTTCCAAGGTGTATTTCTTACACTTTTGTTGAAACATTTTGACACTGCTTATCCCCCCTGGTTAGAGAAGAACAGTAGAGCTGTTGGCCTTCTTTTACCTGACTGTGGAGAAGAAGGCTGGGCTGGTCAGACTGTGATCCAGTCTGTCAGTTGAACAGCTTGTTTGTGGATGAACAAGCCTGCAAATCAGATGAATCCTGGGAAAGGTAGTCCATTCCTTGCACTTACTATAAACTTTTAATAGCTGTTTTCATGAGACTTTTTTTCCTATCAGCTACCTTTGCTTATATTTATTTATTTTCTTTTATTCTTTTCACGCCATTCTACTTCCTGCCAGTTGCCAATAGCTCCAGCAAAGACATGATCAGGTTTGAGGTCTATCTCAAAACTGGCCAAGAAATGTTGCAGCTTCTTGCCATACAACCTGCAATGGATGGTTCCTGTAATATGCTTTTAGCTGTTTATGCAAGCAAAATGAATGGGCATTTTAACTTTGCCCTGTATTTTACTTTGTGTTCTTTCTTTCCCAAGTGAGATGTAAAACTCACTTGTAATTTATTTTTTTTTTTAATCTAAGCAAGTTTGAGATTTCTTGGTCATTAAACTAAGGTAGGTTGAGTTTTCTTCTGTGTTGTTTAATCCTGGCTGAAGCTAAGATGAAGAATACTCAGTGATAAAACTATTCTGAACTTTCTGTCTTTGGAAGCAAGTGTGATTTTTGTCAAGGAATGAACTGCCAATTGCATGCATGTTTTCCTTTGGGAAGGGAAAATGATTACTGAAGAAAGCACCAAGAAAGTTGAGTATAAAATATGCAAAAAGCCCTTAGTAAGGGTTATTATTTTAAAGAGAGATGGGAGACAATTGCTAACAGATTCATAGTGAAAAATAATCTTACAGGAAGGGCTTTATAACCCATTGAGCTTTTCAGGTTCTGTGTGTTTCTGAAGTCATGGGAAATAATTTCAGTGGTCTCCTCCTTTTTTCTGGTACTGTTCCATGTTAGAGGTTGGTCACCTTTTTCTGTATTATGTGTACATTGCATATTTCTGGGTTATGATTGAATTAGCTCTGAATAGAGACACTAGGAACTGGTAGGTTTTTCTTAGTGGTAGGATGGATCATTCATTAGTTTCTTTGTTGGGCTCAGATATATGAGCTTAATGTAGCCCTATGAAAATTCAGTACTTCTGCTTGGACAAAAGGTCAGGACTTGAACTGTTACAGCCAAGCATGTAACATCTCTGTCTTGATGGTGAGATTCTGAAACAGTTTCAGGATGGAATCATTGGTGCCTACTATGCCAGTAACTTGCTAGGTTTGCCAGAAGTTGTTGTCAGTTCATTTCTTTAACTGTTGTTTTAATTTGAGTTCACTGTAAGATTGGGTTTGGGAGTGGAAGAGTAAAAGTAGTAGGAGGAATCAACAAATGGTGAGGAGAGAGGCAGAAGACTTGAGTCTTCATAAGCTGTGTTTATTTTGTTCCTTTTTAAAGTCTATTATTACCACTAGCTGCTGTTGTCATTCTGATCCCCTTTAAAGAATTTCTCTTTCAGTGCAGGCAATAGTTGTGCATTTTGATGACAGTGCTGCAGTAGTTGCATGAAATTTATATTTACAGTTCCTATGTGACTCTGTGAGATTTTAGTAATAATTTTATTTGTATATTTGCATTTGTTTAGAAGAAAATGTTTTCTAAGGCATTCAAAACCAGCCTGCATCAAGTATTAATATGAAACATTTTTTTTTTTTTTTGACCTTTACCGTTTTCCTGTGATACACTGGAATATGACAGTCCCTTATTGTGATGGTATGTGCAGTACCAGGAACCAACTATGCCATCTTGCAAGCTGGAAGACATGCAAATAGATGATAGTCTGTGAATGCAGCTGACATTTAAATAAGTAAATATAACAGTGATTGATATAACTTTTTTTCTTAAAAACAAACTGAAAAAAAAAAACCAATAAAATCCTCAATGTTTTTTGAGGTGAAGTGAGAATGAGAAAAAGAAAGAGGGTAAGCTCAGCTGGGTGTAGAAATGTGCTGTGGTCTGGGTGGCAAAAGATGCAACAAAACCTGGAGCAGCCCAACGACTGAGTTATACTTCAGAAGCACATTGACAGGTAAATGATGCTCTGCTGTACCTAAATTCAGTAGTTAGTTGACAAACACCATTTGGAGGTGTACAAGTGTATATGAGGTGTGGAGCATCCTGCTTGCTGGTCTTCTAACATCTAAGTGTTGGTTTGGTTTTTTTTTTGCTCTCAAAACCAGCTATTTTTTCTGTATATCATAGTCACTTGAAAGTGGCAGTTATGAAAAGGAGACAAGATGGAAACAATTTGTCTCCAGCTTGAGCATTTGCTGAGGCACTGACTAGCTTAGAAGCTAAGATATTACAAATCTCTTGGCAGTTTTATGTGTGTATTTTTACTTGACCTGCTTAGGAGATAATATGTACAGAGAAGAATGCAATAACTGAAATTACTGTGTGGAAACAGGAGGGGCAGGCAGCATAGAAATTGGAATTGGATATAGAGATGCTGTGAATAAGGGAGTAAAGAGGAAAAGAAACTGGAAAATGTGACAGTCTTTTATAAAGACTTATTTTGTGGGAGAATCCTCTTGATAAAAGTGCTAAATAACAGTACTTCCAAGATGGGAGAAATTGTGCTACTGACTGAGGAATAGCATAGTTTGTGAACTCTTTTGTGTCAGCCTGCAGTAGTTCATAAAATCTGGAATTATCAGAATTCTCATTACTATCCTGAAGATGACTTAGAAGACAGTGACATCTGCCACATCTCTATAACAGACTGAAGGATTATGTTTTTTGGGTAAACACTTACTAGATGTCGTTACTTCTGCTTCCCAGATCACAAGCATGGAAACTGGCAAGAACATTGAAGATCATTTGAAAGTCCACAAAATGAAGAAGAAGATACTGAGGAAGCAGATCAGAGCCCAGCATACGTTGATGAGACACGAGGGCATTGAGTGCATCTCCCATGCTACGCAGGTGATTGACAATTCTGATTTTGGTGGTATGAGAAAATACTGCTTACCTGTGTTCTGCCCTCACGTATGTGTTGACTAAAATGCGATTCTTTTAAAAGCACTTAATGAGATTGAGGGTTTTCTGTGCTGTTTGCTTTCAAAGCAGAACTGTACTTCATCAGTTTAATGCCGGCGGAGAGACTGTGACAGCTTTTGGATACATATATATATTTTTAAATCTTAAACAGTAGTTCCCTGAGCTGGGGAGAGCATCAGAGCATGAAAAATGTTACCTTTTTGAAGGAGACAGAGAAACAGGAGAAAGGCCTGCGTGGTGATTTTTTTTCCCTTCTTCTTTGGCCCTCAGCTTTTGTGTCTTTCTTCCTGATGTACTTCTTCATCAAGTATAATTTGTCTCGTCTGTTAATTCCCTGTTAAAAAACATGTATACCTTAGAAATCTTTTTCTCATTTTCTTCACCTTACTTGTTTTAGGTTCTGGTTATATAGATGTTTATCTGATTGACTGATTTGTAGCTGTTAAAAAGGGGAGAACTTTTGCTTTCCTCACACAAAAGGGAACAAGAGAGGGTGTAGTTCTGCTTTTTTACAACAGTCAGTGAACTTCACCGTGTTACTTTGTTCCATAACCTACCAGAAAATTGCCCAGCTTTTTGATCTGTTAGTTTTCTGCTTCAATAGTTACAGCAAATCAAAGGCACCTAGCAAATACTGGTGTAGCAAAATGTGCATGGCAAGATCTTTCAGGTAGAGGAGAAATTAAAGCATCTTACTTTCTTCTGTGGGTTGTGTGGAGTTGCTAACTTGACTTGAAGCACATTGTAATACTGTATCATTTATTGTACCTTTGTTCATCTTGATCCCTCAAAGTCTTCCCATTCTGAAACATAAATATTTGTTAAGTCTTTATGCTTTGTTACTCATTTGTAACAAAATTGGGCTTAGTTTTCACTCAAATTTCACACCATATGGGCATATCCTAAAATGACCCAGCAGTCTTGCAGATTTTGAAAGCTCTTTGGAGTAGGGCTGTGTTCTTCTCGTTTTGCATGGAGATGAGTACATGATCCAGGATTTTATTCCCCTTGTCACTGCCCCAGATACCAAATCATCTGTCTAATGTATCCAATGAGTAGTTTTTGATTTCAATAAGTTCCTCATGGATGACAGAATGTTTTAATTAAAGACATATGAAACAAATTAATAGCACTAGTGATCAACTTGAGAATACATAAATTGCTTTTAGTCTTTGTGTAAGAGTTTGATTATACTGAAATTGCTCATTCATGAGAATGTGAACAGTTGCTGTAAGTGCTGCTGTTGTGTAGAGAAGGTCTGTGTAGGCAGTGTGCCTTCAGCCAGTGAAAGCACTGCTTTCAGTCTCATTTCTTTTGTACACCTGTGCTTCCCATTAGTAAGATTCTAGACAATAACAATGTTTGATCACCTTTGAAAGATGTGATCAGTATGCACAGTATGATGTAGTTTGAAAAGTAAGCGTTACCAGAGCCGTCACAATAGGCATAATCGCAGCAGTATCTCATGTATGCTCACTTGTTCTAAAATATTTTTTAATAATCCCTCTGTTCAGTTTTAAACCTCATTTTCAGTCTCTTAGGAAAGTGAAACACTGTCATTTGAAACTTTTGAACACTTTGCCAGCTGCTTTCAGAAGCATTTATAACATTTAAGGAAAAAATTGTCTGAAAGCTTTCTAGAAATGTATTATGTGTAGTCAATCTGAGTGAATTGTTAGTAGTTTGGAGTCACCTGAGCTCTATCAAAACTTCTATATTGCATCCTCATTTAGCCTTAGGAGGAGTCTTAAACTTCCTTCAACCTCTGTGGTTAGATTGAATGTCTAGGTATAGTTCATGGTTGCCTAGAAGTCAAAAGAACTTACGAAGTTTTTTTTAAAAGGATTTTTTTTTTCTGTAAAAGAGTCATTTGAAAAGTTCTGTTTTTGTTTTGTTTCTGCATTCTCTGGTAATTTTGTACATAAATCATTATGAAAGCTCTGAGCAAAGCAATTAGTCGTTGTGCTCAAAGTAATCTGTATTAATAAGGATGGGGATAAATGCCTTTTGTTTATGAAAACAAGAGGGTGAATTCTCAGATGAGAATTTATAGAAGTTTATAGAAGCTGCTGTATGGTGAGATGGCAAGGAATATCTGTCTCCTTATGCTCAAAAAGACTCCTTAGCAAAGATTAGAAAGCCTTTCTTAACAACCAAAAAGAATCACATTATCTGAAGATTGTTGTGTTTGATTTTGAACAGTAGTGGGACTCTAGGAAAATTCCATTTTAGGAAACTCAAAAATGATGTCTGCCAGTGTCATTTTTTTCTTATGATATACTTCACACTTATGCCAGTTTGAAGCTGAAGTGATGTTGTAACAGATTTTGCAAGCACTTCTCCCAGAATTTGTGCTGGATAGATGTTGCATTAGCCTCATATATCAGGCTAACGAAGATGTAGACTGTATGAGTAATCATTTTTTTTTCATTATAATATGAACTACTCTCTTAGTAGTGTTTGTTTTGGATCAATCAACAATCATCAGTAATGGTAAATTTTATTTATTTTTCTTCAATTAGAGCCTAGTTATTGCCAATGCTGGCCTGGGTAATGGGATGAGTAGACGTCAACTGCACAGGATAGTAGAAAATTATGGAATGGTGGAAACACTTCTAATGCCACCGAATAAACCATATTCATTTGTGAAATATGAGTCAACAGAGGAAGCCAAGAAAGCGTTTGATGCCCTGAATGGAAAAGAAGTAACGCTGGAAGACTCTGACCAAGACATTGTTTTGTATTGTAATTTTGTGGAAAAAGGTATCATTTTTGTACTTATCTGTAAAATTCTTTCATAGCACTTCTTTGCTTTTTTTCTTCTTAGATTGTAAATGTAGCTAAATGCATGCTAGTCTAAGGAAGCAGAGAATGAAAGCCAGACTTTAAGATTCAGCACAGAAAATTACCTCTTGTCCTTGTGTTGCATGGTAAGATAGATGGCCACTGAAGTAGTTTCAAGACCATTTGTTGCTGCACAGGAAGGTTCTCTGATTTGAGGAACTAAGCTGCGACCCAGGTGACTTTGGGATTCATTGGATTGGTTTGGACTTCATCCGGTTCTTTGTTTGCTGACAGTCTTGTGATCTCTATCTCAGTGCCAGTATGGAAAATAAACAAAATAAGATTTCTGCTTGTTTCTTTTTTCCTCAAACTTGGCTGACTGTAAGCTAGGACAAGAACTATGCTTCTTTCTATAATGTTTTATAGTGTTTAGCATAAGACTTCCTTGTGGTGGTTTGTACACCGAATACAGCAGTATCCAATGAATAGCTTTAAAAATGCCCAACCAACTAGGACAGCAAACTGAAGGCTCCTACACCTTTTCTGTTCTAGATATTGTCTTATGGTCCTCCATGTCTAGTTACAGAGTGCTTCCCTGGATGGCTAATACATATTTTAAAAAAAGAAATCATATTTTTCTGTGGTTGTTGGAAGCAGGGATAAATCACTGAAGTTCTAGAGTCCTGAAATGATTGGGAATTTTTTTTGCAATTATTTTAACAGGAGGATCACAGGTGGCTTTGTATTTGAGTAGTGTGGAGTCTTATGAAATTTAAACAGTAAAATTTAGAAAGTGCTTTCTGTGAAGCAAAATTTGGGCCTTAACATTTTTTGTTGCGTTAGAAAGGGATTCACCAAGTTAGTCCTTAGTGAAGGCTCCATTTTATCATTAAATCAAATGTTCCTACAGCCATAATGTATTCCCATGTATAGTGAATATTCCTATAGGAATTATGGAGCTTCATTAAGACAATCTGCTCTTTTTCCATGACTGCAGTTTGCTGGAAGAATTCTGTTCCTACAAGCTTGCCTCCAGACCTCAAAGTCATTGAAAATATTATTTCTCCAGAGGAAGAAAGGAAGATGCTGGAAAGTATTGACTGGAGAGGAGATGAAAATGCTCAAAATGGTGGGCAAAATCAAAGAAATTCTGACCTTATGTTTATCCTGTTATTTTATGCAGTTTCTGGTTACAGGAATTATGCACATTCGTAAGTGTGTTGTTTGAAAACCTCCTGTGTTTTTTCTTTATATTTTAGAAATGGGTCTTATATTGCATGTGATAAATCAGTGGGGGCAAGTGATATGAATCAATGTGCTGATAGATATTTATTTGAATAAGATTGCCACATCCAGAAACAAGTAGATTTCTTTAAATAGACAGCTTATGTCCTACTTAAAAGCCGTTTCTTCTTTTAAATCAAAATAAGTCAGCAAGACACACTTTTTGGATGCTTTTGTTCTTTTACTTGTGTTCTGGGGGATTAAAATCTCTTAGTAAATTGGACATGGAATCCAATTCAAGGTTTCTGTGTAAGTTTTGTTTCTTGAAACCATTGGTGCTGTTATGTTGATCTTTGTTGACTTGGTGACTGGTCAAAGTGAAGAATCTTGCTCTGTCCTTAGATTATCAATCAAGTGCTTGTCTGGAAGTTAAGCCAAGAATAAAGATGCATTAGGTACGGGTCAGTAAATTTGTACTTCTTGCCCATGTAAAAGCACAGTCTGCTTGACTTTAAACAGCAGCAAATGCAATGTCCTGGTGAGTTTTCAGAAAGTAATAAAGCACAAGTGTGTGCCATGTAGAAAAGGGTCACGTATACTGTTTTAGCTATTAATGAAGGAACGTTTAACAGAGACCAGATGAGATAAGGGCACACAGTAATTTGCCTGAACTATTTATGTCATCTGATCTTACCTTGAATTTGTATCTTCTCACAGCCCAGAAGACTTTAAAACATAGAAGAGTAAAACATTTTGGATATGAGTTTCGCTATGATAACAACGATGTTGATAAAGACAAGCCTTTACCTGGAGGTGAGAGCTTCCCCCTTAAATAACACTTATTTTGCACTGACATTTGAACCATTAAGTAAAGCCTGTAAGCCTCAATCAGGTATGGGTGTGAGATTTGTATTAAAAGACAGTTGAGATGCTAATAGAAGGAAAGCCATTAATGTATCTTAAGCACACTCTGAACAGTGCGGGATTAATTCCAGATTGATGCGGGTGCTTGAAGCTTGTTTTCCAGTCACTTGCAGCCAGGAGTTGCTGTCCTTTGCTGAGGTCAAAACAAATAAGGTGTTTGGGATTGTAAATGTCTTTTTTTTTAAAGCTTGTGTTACATAAAATAAATGTTAGTGTTTAAATTGAATATTTGAGGTTATGCTATAAATTGCAATATATATTTATCTTGTGCTTGAAGCTTGCTGGAAACACACCAAAATTTTTCTTTGGAGAGAAAGCTATTTTGACAAAGTTTGAATAATTCTTATTTGAAGTTAAGAGCTGTGTAAACAAAGTGAGTCAGCTTATGGTCTTATGTTTTAAAATAATAAAACATAGGGCTAAACTCTTACAGAACATGAAGCTTTTTGAGTTCATGCGTAGGTCCTGTGGTAGATGTAGCTTTCGGCAGCTGGATTCTGATTACATTGTGGTTCTAGCAGTGTAACTATATATTGTCATAAAAGCAGAATATAAATGAGTTGGGTGAAATAGTAAACTAAAGATTCATTCATCTTTTCAAAACCAGCTTGACTTCAGCAGATTTATTTGGTGATATTTAATCTACTTCGTTAGCAGATTTTTAGAGGGTGAATTTTTTAGTGAGCTTTCTGCATATCTACTGATTTTCTGCATAATAATTTTACTTCTTTTTCTTCTTGCAACTTCCTTTTTATAGTGGATGGTGGTAATTTTGCCTTTGATTTGATATTCTGTAATTTAAAGGCAGCGATAATGCAGTATACCTTTGTAAGGACAAATATGTAAATGGATAAAAAAGTTGTCTTGCTTAAAGCTTTTTTTCTGTAAACAGGTCTTCCTGAAATTTGTATCCCATTCTTAGAGAAATGCTTGAAGCAGGGATATATCAAGCATAAACCTGATCAACTGACTGTAAATCAGTATGAACCTGGACAAGGTAAATTTGTTTATCTTTTAAAAAACGTTGAGCTCTTTAGCTTAACTGAAATAAAGAAGAGAATAGCTTCTGTTGGGACAGTATTTAAGCACTTGCTTAATGCATTTCCTATGTGACCAGAAATATGTTTATGTTTTCACACTGGTTTATGAACCCTATTTAGAAATATAAATTTTGGTATCATTGATACAGATGTTGATGATGTTCCAAAGTATAAAAGGGAACTCAGTATAAAAGGTTACAGGACTAAATAATGGTGTTTGGTTTTGCACTCAAGTGTACTTTTTAATTTGCTTCCGAGTCTCTCCTTGCACCCTGTACTGTGCATATAGCCTCCAGAAAACATCTGCTGTTAGTATATGTGATATAAAGTTAGCATGTGTGATATAGAGGCTCTTAAATATGCTGCAAAAAAAGAATTCTCTTATCTTAGAAATAAGAAATTACTCTTTCTGTAATCTTTCGCATTCTGAAGATAAATTTGCTTCTAATCATGCCTCTAGGGAATAAATCGTATGCTGTGCTTTTTCCTAAGGTCAGTCATCAAGGCTAACTATCTAGCTTCCTTTCTAGAATGGCTATCTAATTTGTCCTTAGAAAAAAAAGAGACTGCAACTTTTCTTTCAGATTCAATGTCTGACAGCTAATTTGGTGCCTGCCAAACAGGGGTCTGAAAATCTGATGCCATTTGTTTACGTATCTGACAATCTGTTAAATTGATACCATTGTGTACTTCTGGTTGGGACTTGAGATTAGGTGAATTGATTTCCATCAAGAATAGAAGCAGTGTTTTAAAATCAAAACAAAAGAAAATACCCTTTCATAAGTGCAAATTGCTAGGGTCCAAGTGAACATAGAGTGCAGCCAGGTACCTTTAGTTTCTGTGTTATGAGCCACATTCTGTCACTGAGCATTAAAATTGAGATTTTAAAAAGTGACTGATAACTTTGAGCAAAGCTGGAGGGGCCACATGTAAGACACCCTAAATGAATTCCTTTTTGAGGCCGCTTTCTTCAGGATCCTGATAGTGTTCAAAGTTGGAGATTTATATTTGTTGTTAGGTTACCATCCACTTTTGAATGCTTAGGTGACTGTCTTGCAATGTGCTGCATATGTGGTGTGTGGACAGCAGGTAGGTCAGGGTGGTCTTTGTTGAATTGTTGAGGTGGTGCTGAAATGAGCGGTCAAGGTTCTCTTGTTGCACAGTGAATTGTGCTGATGTCAGTGTGTGTCTGAAGACAGAGCTGCAGTGCTTCACTGAAGCAAATTTACAAGCCAACACCAAAAGATACTGGTCAGACTTGAAAAGCAAGGATGCGTTTTTTTAATCAGAGTAGAAGTTGGCCTCATAAAACATTTGTATTGCTTTTACTGAAAATAACGGCATTCGTAAATGTTATAAGAAAATTTGTTACTGTGATGGTGAAAGAATCTTGGAATTAGGCAGCCTTTGTTTAACCTGCTATTTTCCCATTTGACCTGTGCTGTAGCGGGCCTGCTTTGCAGGGGGGTTGGACTCGATGATCTCTTGAGGTCCCTTCCAACCCCTACAATTCTGTGTTCTGTGTGTGTCATACTTACATCTGAAAGTAAAGTATGGCATATTCATAAGGAAGGTTGTTTTATAAAGCCAACTGACTCTGTTAGGAAAGAATATTTTCAATCAAGATATTTGGTTGTGTCCAAAGTGAATGTCAGTAGAGTTTTTAATAAATGAGCCTAACTGTATTTTCTTAAACCAAGTAGGAATCACTTGTTATCTGTCTTATGAAAGAAGGCACAGTTGCAGTTCTCCTAAGCTCTCTGCAGGCTTTGCTCCTCTGCTGGCTGCAGTTCCCCACCTTGTGGTGAGATCTTGTTGAGGCTAGCACAACGCTTTTTCAGCACTTTTGTGTTAAAATGTGGCTCAGGCTCCAAGGAATGCCAGGTTCTTTATTTGAAAAAAAGAATGATATTGCTGTTTATTTGTAAATTCTCAAATGTGCATGATTGCTCATACATACTAATCCCTGGGTAGTACCTCTATTGAGGTAACCCCAGCAATGGTGTGTAGATTTCTCCTGGGAACTGTGAAGCAGAGGGACAGGGTTTTACTCTGATAGTGTCTATTTCTCAAAGCACATCCTAATTCTGAAGCTGAAACCTTTGCACAGTCATTCACCTAGTGATACAAGGAGAATTTGGGGTGATTCCTTCTGGGGGAAGAGTCTGTGGGAGAAATATACTAGATGATCTAAGGCCCAAAGACACCCAGTATAATATAACTGTTAGTTTAAAGCTGAGAAGAGAACATGATGATGTCAGGTGCTTGCTGCAGCAAGGAAAATATTAGGAGTCTTTAGAGGTTGGGCGAGGCCTTTGGGTGCTCTGAACTGTTTTTGAGATGTTTCCATTGATTAGAGGAGAGACTTCAGTTAACTGTACATCTAATCTGGACGTGTAAATCAGATGGACTGATCCTGTCCTGAACTGTTTTGGAAGGCAAGTCCCACCTTTATGATAAGTTTTGTTGTTCGGCCATATATATCTTGTCCTGTAAGGACATCCATATGGATACCTTTCTGTAAATATAATGATGTGGGTTTTTTTTTGTTGCAGGAATTCCTCCTCATATTGATACACATTCTGCTTTTGAGGATGAAATAATCTCTCTCAGTTTAGGATCTGAGGTAAACTTCATATTCGTATATACTTTGATGTTTTATTGGGAAGTATCGTTTTTCTATTGTTTAATACAATTTTAGTTTTCCATGATGTCTGTTCATGCTCATCTGAGTTTGATCTCAGGCATGCAAGGTACTGTGATATGCTAATTAAATAAACAAACATGATGACATACCAGGAATAATTCATATCCTATTTTAAAATTTTAGCATCCATTTCTCTATTGACCTTCCTTCATTTTGTATTAATCTTGGGAGGTATATAGAATCATAGGATCCTTAGAGTTGGAAGGGACCTCTGAAGGCCATCTAGTCCAACTCCCCTGCAATTAACAGGGATATAACTTTCGTTTCTACTTCCATTTTTTTTTCTTCTCATCCCTTGCTCCCTCTAGGTTGCAGTGTTTTACATACAGTTCCAGTAAGCTAATGTAGATGTATTACTTCTAGAGGATCCACTCAGAGTCTGAATCCTGCTGAGCCAGTCACAGTGCAGGCAGAGGTAGACTGATCTTGTGAGCTTTCAATATATGCAGACAATGCAGATAAAGAGTAGGAAGGGAAATGGAAAAACAGTGAAATACCACAAATCCATGCTGTGTATCACAAACAGGATTGAGAACAGACCATGTATTCATCTTTTTTAATTAGTGTTCTTATACTCTTTAAATTAATCTGCCATACCTATCCCCATCCCATTTTACATTTGTTTTGTTGTAAAGCTGCCAATCCTGTGTGAGGATAATCTAATCTGCTGCTTCATTCTGGCAATGGTGTGGAGAGGATGTAGACTTGTATGTGTGTTTGTGTGTGTGTAAGGTTGTATCTGTATAGCAACAGACAGTATTCTCATGTTGAAAAACAACAACTTTGATTGTTCTTGATTTGCCCTACTCTTTAGGCAGAGAGACGGTCATGGCTGACAGTTTTGAGCACAGAGTCTCTAATCTGGGCTTTGATATTGACTTCCTCTTTTCTTATCGTGAGTTTTCTAGTGGACGTGGAGCTTGTGGGACTGGAATGAGTGTAAGGAAGAACAGCCTTCCCAGGAATGTGGGGCAGTGGCACCTCTGTGTTGGTTGACTGGAAGGAGGATGTCAGTGATGCCAGTCCTGTCATTCATATAATTAATGTATTTGCTCATCTAAGCCACAGTAACATCAGAAGCATCCAGTTAGAGTAGGAATATCTGGAATTGGTTGTGATGATTTTTATAAACAGTGTCAGTAGAGTTTTCACTTCTTTTGTTTTGGCATCTGGCAATTTAGGCATGCCTTTCCCATGCTGCCTCCATGCTTAGCCTTGTTTCTGATCTATTCAACTGCAGTATTGTCTTTAACAGTGTCTGTACCTTTGTGCGAGGCAGCACATAAGAACATCCATTCCTTTCATGCTATTTCTCTAGGGGAAAAGCTGTAATTGAACTTCTGTGTGTTTTATCAATCCTTAGTTTATTTTTTTTAATACATACTGGATATTCAGAGCAGTGCAGCAACAGCAGACAGTCCCACCTTGCACAGTTCCTATGTTGATCTTGTAATTAAAAATGTTTCTTCAGTTTTCTTTATTAAAACTACATTGATGTTGCAGTAATTTCTCATCCTTTTCTGACTCAGCCTGCAGCCCCTCACTTTCTTATCTTTCCCATTTCAATTAAAAGGCTGATTATGGCTTGGATGCTCTGTTACTTCATTGGTGAGATACCATGATTATATTACAGCACACCTTTGTGGCAGTCTTAAACGCACAGCCAAAAGCATAGTGAATTTAATCACCTGAGAAAAGCAAGCTTTTCTAGGCCCAGGACTGCCTGATGGATTATAATGCTGTTAAAAAATAAAAATAAATGGAATGTATGTATTTCAGGCAGGGCAACAGCTTGACTTTGACCATTTATAGACATTTCAGACATTGGCACTGGACACAGTCTGTTAGATAGTTCCCAGGTTTCAGTGCCTTTTCCTAATGGGCTATAAATGCTCTATTCAGATTCAAACAATCAAAGCACATGTGAAGTAAAGCAAGCCAATGGAACATAAAATGCCACATTATTTGATGCCTTTGCTTTCTGGTACTTTTATAACATCTGTAATTTCTTTAATGTATTTTTGTGCACTAAACTACTTTTCATCTGATTTTAAAATGTGAATAGAAGATGCAATAATACATGCTTTAGTTATTTTAGGAATTTATTTATAGGCCCACCTTTATTCCCATTGTGTATGACAAAATTTTTACACTCTGATAATAAATAATTAGAGTTGCCCATATGGCAGCAAACTTTTGTACTTGCCTATTCTCTCTATTCTCTCTGGTGTGACTTACTTTTTTTTTTTTAGCTGAATACATTGGGCTGCCACATCATGGGGAAAAAAGCATCACAGTATCACAGTCATATGTCTTGTGTTTTCTGTATTTTTTTCTCAAAAAGGAATGCCCACATTTAAATAGAAGTGGACCTTGCTGTCTGACTGGTTGTTAAACCTATTTCTGAAATTGGCTAACGTGACACCAAAAAAAAAAAACAGAAAGCTTCATATGGTTTATTCTGAAGTGAAGTCATGGAAGGAACTTTTCTTCCTGTTTGTCTGCTTGACCTTCTGTATCTGACTTAGGCAGGTTCTAAACATAATATGTGAAGTAAATGCCTTGGCATATGAAAAAGGAGTCTGTGGCAGACCAGTGAACTAAACACAAGTACCATCTTAGTCTAGTGCCTTAACAATCAGTGTAGGTTTAGAGATGACTTATGATATCTTCACAGAATCCCAGAATTGTTTAGGTTGGAAAGGACTCTTGAGAGTGTCCAAAGCCTTTCTCAAAGAGGGTCAGCAAAGCAAGATGTCAAAGAGTGTGTCCAATTGTGTTTTGCATACCTTCTGCTGGGCAATCTGTTCCAGTGTTTGACCTCTATCCCAGTAAAACAAATTAGATATACTCATAGGTTTTAAATTGTGCCCATTCTCTTATTTGCTATCAGTGGGTGCTATTGGGAAAAGCACCTCTTCATTCCCTCCCATCAGATATTTATATGCATAGATAAGTTCCCCTTGAGACTTCTCCAAGCTGAACAATCCTAGTTGTTTCAGCTTTTCCTCATATGAAAGATACTTCTCAATCATGTTCACAGCCTGCACTGGACTAGCTCCAGTAATTCATATCTGTCTTGTAGAGGGGAGCCTAATCCATTCCTAGTACTCCACAATACTCCAGATGCATCTTCACTAGTGTTTAGTTAAAGGTTCACCTCTCATGAACTGCTGGTAGTTATGGAACCCAGGAGACTGTTGGCCTTTTCTGCCACAAGAGTGCATTGCTGATTCACAGTCAAGTTGTTGTCCTCCAAGACCCTAGTGTCCTTTTTGGTGAAGTTGCTTTCTAGCTGATCAGCCTTCAGTGTGTAATGGGTTATTTCTAACCACGTGCAGGACATTTGTTGAACTTTAGGGTTCCTGTGTACCCGGTTCTCCAGCCTATCCAAGTCCTTCTGAATAGCAGCCCTGGTATATTGGTCAGTTTTGTATTACCCCTAAACTTGCAGGGGGGTAACTTTTCTTCCATTGTCCAGATTATTAACGGAGGTGTTAAACAGTGCTATGCACAGTATCAAGTCTGGGTTACATCACTAGTGATGTCTTCTACTACCCTCTGTGCTGCTGCCATCTTCAGCAATACCTCCTTGTATAAAACACTGTAGAAATTCAGTCTTTCCTGTGGAGTATGGCTTTCTCCAGTAAGAAAGTACTTAATGCTGTTCTGTTAGAGGGATCATTGCAAGCATAATTTGTTTCTGCAAAATTAATTTGTGTTGAAGAAGGAGTAGTTATTCCCATACTTCTTAATATATACTTCTTAAAATATGAACAATCTTGAATAAGACACAATTGTTCTCAACTCTGCTTTTGTTTTGCATCAGATAACCTACAGCAAAGCTCTTATGTGAAACAAGGCAGAAATGTAGGTGTGAGATTGTTTCCCATCTTCTTTGCTTGTAACAACTTTCTCTATCAAGTGGCTCAATTTTATTCCAGTTGGTGCAATATGTTGTTTTAAGGAGTTTACAAGATGGATTAAACTTGATCTGAAGGAAAAAAATCTCACTTTGGAATTCATTCTAACTTGGAAAAACCACTAAACATTCTGAAGGCAAAGCAGTGAGATTTGTTGCATCTTGTCCTCTAGTATTCCAGGGAAGCTGACAATGTCAGGACAGGTTAATCACTTCTCATTTTTTTTAACCTATTTCTTTGACATTCATGGGAAACTGCAGAAGGTCCTGTGGGCTTCTAATTACATTTCCTACACCATCACATTCACCTTTTCTTTATATGAGATGATACATTAAAAGTTTTAATGATACCAGGTTTTATGTTACAGTACTGAGTACAGTTTTCTTGAATTCAGACATTGCCATAGTAGAAAAGAAGGCCAATGGTGTAAAATCAGTTCAAAGTGATTTTATTAAGTTTTAACAGTAAAGCATGTGTCCAGGAATTTGGACAGAGTGCTGCAAAGCAGGAGATAGTCCTTTCTGTTAAAAATGTTCTGAGTTGATTTGACGTAGGTGTTGTTTTCAGTGTCTCCATTTGGTGTCTCTAAAGGTACATAATTTCACAATATTTCATCTTAGGAGCCTGGCCAATTTTGCAGCTGGAAAAATCCTAGTGAAAGCCTGTGTCAGATTTCCTTTAGCACACTTGAAGACAGTGTTTGATCAACATTGAGATTTGTTTTTCCACTTTTCCTAATTTGCTATGTAATGTATTGTCATGTAAGCCTTGATTCATTAGATTTTTGGAAATATGGAGGTAACGTTTCTATGGTGAGCTATGTGTTACTATGAGAGTATGCAACCCAGAAAGAAATTATCCCTTCCTGACAGCAGATGTTGCCCCAGTAAATGGGATACATCACAGTCTTCTTTCCTGTCAGCTCTGCCTCGTTCTGTCAGAAACTACTGAGGGACACCCTCTGTCCCCATGCCAGAAGGTGAAATGCTGTCATAA